AAAATATTTCTAGGAAAGATAATGTTTTAATTGATTTAGAACTATAGGTACAATTTGTTAGATTTACACATTTGTGAGAGTTTAAAAAGGACACAAAGGAAAAAATGAAGCATTAAATTAGTAGTAGTAATATTTATCCATAATATTATAAATGTGACAGTTTCTCTGTTTGGATGTTTGTCCGTTAATCACGCCGAAACTACTGATCGGATTTTGATGAAATTTGGTATACAGATAAGAGTATTTATTAGCTGACTTAGGTAATAGGACACTTTTTATTCCACTAAACATTTCCCTGGGGATCACGCGGACGAAGCCGCCGGCGAAAGCTAATTAATTATAAATTAAGCCAGTATGTTCGTTGAAATAAAAAGGAAAAAGAAAACACGTTTGTTGTATGGGAACCCCCTGAAATATTTATTTTATTAATTTTTTTTTTGTATTTTTTGTTATAGCGGCAACAGAAGTACATCATCTGTGAAAATTTGAACTGTCTAACTGTTCATGAGATACAGCCTGGTGACAGATAGACAATGAAGACACTCTAAAAAACTGCTATACAGTTAATTCAAAACAATACATAGCTTTCTTTGGTTAGAAGTTAGTGAATAATATCTAAATGTATTTTAAACTTCGGATCGATCAGTTATTTAACCTAAGAATAGGCAGTCTACAGTAACAATAACTGTCAAAACCTCATTCATTGATTGAAACAATTTTATATATTACAATAAAAAGTCGCCGCCATGTATGTTCGTTTGAACGCGATATCCTCAAAACTATTGAATAGATTATCGTTCGGTTTCATTCTTTGTATATCTTTTATAATATATGTTTTAAATAATTTTACAAACGTTCCAGTGGCTCCATCGCCGACCTACTCTTTAACTAGTTGTTTTATTAGGTATGCTGACAGATCAAAACATATGGGACTTAAATTTAACACATTAATTAGGACTTCAGTTACGCGGTAGAGCCGCGAAGATTGTTAAGTAAAAAGCCAAATTTTTGACGTCTTCGATAAGTGGGTCATATTGAAAATTGCGAGCGTTTTACCGAGTTTTACCCTACTCTTGATGTGAAGATTTTGAAAACTAAAGTGCTGAAAACACAACCAGAATAAATTTCAGGTACAGTACCGCTGTCGACTGATCAGTAGCAACATAGGATTGTAATTTAAACGTACTTCAGCCAATTGTTTACCAGTCACACTGTTAAAAACTGTCGACTTATGTGACGGCACTACTTTGTAAATTAAATTTCGCTATTCAGTCTCCTTAGGATTCAAAAACCTCAGGAAGTCAATATTTAAGATTCCTAATTTCAACAAGAAATAGGCGCTAAAACAAAGTTCAGTATATTCACTAAACCCATAGTTAAAATCTAATTTCGTGTTAAGGCAAATCCTATTACCATTTCTGAGATGCTCAATTCAAATGCGGGTGAGCCAATGTATATATACTTCTCTTGGGATCAGTATAATTTATGTGATGTTGTTAAAGCTAATTACATTAACTAGTTGCGATCAGTTTATATCAGCTGCAGATACGTTACAATAGTCAATATATTACTAGTGGCATCCCTATAGGGCCGGGGCACGCAACTCGTCGTGTTAGTAACTAGCCACTTCCTATTGGTGGTCCTTCATTGTAACCTTTTAATACTTTTAATATACCATATTTTTTTTTAAAGTAACTAATTAAAAAATCGCATCGTGCTCTCGACGCGATTACATAAAAGATACAAACGCAAGGTGTGTATCCGTAAATCAGTTGCATTTAATCTGTATATTGAAAATAATTGATAAGATTTTGATCTCGATACTGGGTAATACCGATCATAAAAAAACAAGTAACTACTTTTAAGAGTTTACGTGAACATTACCTTTTTAGAAAAGCAATATTACAACAGAACTTATTGTTTCTCTGTATTTATATCAATCGAACGATAATTTAAAAGCGACGTTAATAATTAAGATTATTGTTTTTTTTTTAAATACACGTGATTTGGTTGAAGGAGGGAGGGGGTAGTCTTAAACCTCACCATGTATCATCAAGGGGGGGGGGGGGGGGGAAATGTTGAAAAAAACATCACGTGATTAATGGACGGCCCCTAAAGCATAAATCTCGTGACTAAAGGAATGAGAGCCAAAGTCACTGAACGTTGGTGTTCACCAATAATGGCCGCTTGTTTTTGTCTTTTTCCCCACAATTACTGAATTACACAAAATTCAAATATCTGACAATCCAACTTTTAACAAACGACATTACCCACAGGTCGGAAACTTTAATGAAATTGAATGAGAGCTCACTCAGACCAAAGGCAAACGAGATAACGTTTTCGACAACTTTATCTGTTAGCGGAACCCCCTCGAGAATGGGAAACTAACGGCCGTACCCTCGATAAGGAGGATCCTAAAAGAAAATTGTTGTTATCTTGATAGACACGCAACTTTCTGGCACACTGTGACAAACACGAGTACAGACTGACCTGACAAGAGGGTGGAATACGAGTATTATACTCAAAACTGACTTTGACAGGGTAGACCAGTGATTACGAAAATCAATTCTATTACAGTATTTACCAAATTGACATTATATCAGACAATGTTGAATGGAAAATTAGCAAACACATTCTAAGTCGACAACAATTAAATTCTTTATAACCATAAATAAATAAAGCGATATCAATGAAATTACTGCCAAATTTGCTCTCACATAAAGGTGCATTTGCTCTGCAATCGTGTTAAACTAAACATAGTATAGCTATATTATCGAAGGTTGGACTGCACCATGGCTCTCTTATTATTCAGGCTGTTGCTCGGAACAGGGCTGTAGTGCTTCATCGGAACCAATCCCTTAAGGTCTCGAATATCGCCTCCTTCCAATACTGCGTTTCTCGTTTTGTTTTTTCTTGAATTACGAAATAAAGAAATCTGTCGTAGACGCCAACGAAGTCTTTTGAAATAATTGGACATTTTATGATTGGGTTCTGTTAAGGTACACATAAACAGATTTTGTAGGATGAAAACAGTGTTTGGTTTATTCCATGTAATAATAGTCTTCAGTTACTTACTATGTGATTAAGTTATACAAACTATGCTTCTACAATAAAGCAAAGTAAATTTGTATTTAGTTTCGGGTGGTTTCGGTTTACATTATACACTTCGGTACTTATCAGAACTTTAATTGAAATATCTCAGCAAGTTAGAGTATACTAACTTCTGAAATACAAACCTAAAACACTCGTAGTAAGCTTGTGAACTTCGAGTAGACAAGTAACAAAAGTCGATATATTCATATTTGGTATAACAATAACTAAGGATTAACAGACTCCTCCCGCCTTTACTTTTTCACTTATACCTACTTCAGGGTGGGAGGTTCACAACATTAGTAGAACCCTACATAACCACGTCTGCTTCGTAAGTAAAGGATTTCCTACGTAAAAAAAAACGTATCTACAAACAGCTTAAAAAAATTAATAATTCTGAGTTATACAATTCTTGAAATTCAGAGATTGTTCGAAACTGTTTTGAATTACCTATTTTATTTATATGCGAATAATCATTTAATCAATTATTTGTTTCTCGTGACACTCAATAGATACCAAAAACTTGTAGCAGAAGCACACAACCCTGATAAGGTTTATGTAGTTCGTGGAATACTGCTTGTTGAGGTCAGATTATGCGTAGGATTTATACGGACTACACCAAACAAATCTCAACTGAAGTATTTCTCACCGAACCATATCCCGTAACTTTTCCTTGTGTTACACAATAAAGACTGTAATGCGAGACAGCAGCGAGGTCAAAATGAAAACAAGGGGGACGGGATCGCGTCACGTCGCCGTCGTAGGATCTGAATCCGCAGCGGGTCCGGATTACTGAATACCGCTCCGGAGTTTCACGAGCAAACTTTTATCAGATTGCCTAATATTTTTTCGTGTGCTACGTTAGACACAGTAAGATGCCCCGATGATTATCTGACGCTCTCACATTTCCTTAACAAATACTTAGTAAACAAACATTAGACAAGGATGAGAAATTCACAAATAAACAAAAATATATCACTTTTCTATAAGAGGCAATGCCTTTGACACAATAATATAAAGACAAATTTTATTTAATATTTAAATTTGCATTCAAGACAGCAACTCGCAACTTTTATCTCGCTTCAAACTTAATTTCTTGATCTGACATCAGACTCTGTTCGTACTTTACGTGCTCTATTTATATGTACGCATTTATTTAGGTATATGTAATAATAATAACTTATTTATGTTTGTCTATTTCTTTACATAATAAACAACTTATTATAAATTACAAATTTGTATAAGTAGTATAATTAAACACTGTTATGATGAAGTCATGTTATCAACTCTGCTAGTTTTTTAATAATAAAACTGTATGACAGCTGTTCTCGCTGGACATAAATGAAACTGAATATATTCTAAAATTAGTGGATATTGTTGTATGTTAGCTAGTAGCGTAACGTACATATTAAACCTACGTTATGATTATCGCCGCACTTAAATTTCTGTACTTAATTAACTGGATAGATAACGATAACGCATTAAGATTAAATAAATATAGTTTTTAAGATTCCTGCCTGTATATTATACTCATATGTTAAAAAAATATATTTTTCTTATGTCATAATAATGACGAGTATCATAAAGTTCTTGAATACTTACACAAGTGTGATAAATACTGTGTAGGATTTAATCAAAAGTAAGTTATAGCTATCCGTAACTTCTCTAAGGCCCTAAATAGTTTATTATTAAAGTTTATACCATTAACCAGAATTCTTCTAATGATTAAAGTTATGAAAGACATTTTACGATGAGTTACAGACAATCAATATAGTTTAATATTACATAGATAAAGCCAGAATACCAGAATAGCTTCTGGCTTTCCCGGAAAAGGATGAAAAATACCTATATACTGATAAGTTGAATATTTCTAGTCTCGGGGGTAATTAATGTGTTACCATGCGACTTACCTATTTTTGTTTTTATATCTAAACATTGTGATATGTGTGGGAACTGGAGGATCTTCCGCCACTTCTTGCTTTTCCCCTTGTTGCTATCGGAACCACCTGTCGACAACAATGAAAAGGTAACATCAATACACTTGTTACATTTGGACCTCATTATGATCTTTTAATTTATAAAAATAACTAAGACGGATATTATAAAATCTCCTGTAACAAGGGCATAACTCATTCATAGCGAATTCGTTTATAAATAACATATTATGTTCAGATCTATTAGTAAACTATCAACAGAACAGGACGTTTAATAATTATTTTCTCAAACATCGTTACTGATAAATCAAAGATAATAATCATTGATAAAAATTTAATCGCTAATAAAAAAATATTAGTAGCGTACAAGATATTAATTACGGTCTCCTTGATATGTTTGTCCGACCGCACAAGTAATTAACTTTGCCCGATCGAATTAACGGTTGAATCTTGAAGTATTTTATACATTACGCGCCGAGATAGCGTTGTCTAAGAACTCTCAATTAAAGAAGAGCCCGTTAAGCCTACATTGAAATGTAAACAAGAACGATTCATTTAATGTTCGTAATATATTTACTTTGCTCCTTGTACGAGTCGGTTTAAATGCATATAAGCGTTAAGTTTTTAATAAATTCAATAAACCAAAGAGAAACATTTTAATTGCATGTCGTACCCATGCTAATATAACCCATATTTCGCAAAAACTCCTAAACCCTAATAATAAATTTTGGATAACCCATATTTCGCAAAACTCTTACCCTAAGCTAACCCTAATAATAAATTTTGGAATACATTGCGCCTCTCCGGTCGTCTCGACTCCCGCTATTATTCAACGTTAGTAACTGTTTTTTCTCTTTATTTTGGCACAAACAACTCATTAAAGATATTACAATATATTGTAGAAAACGAGTACCCATAATTACTTAATACAAAAATAACAACATGAGTTACAAAGTAAATAACAACTTATAAACATTTATAGTTTTACAACATTTCAATGGGGTATGTGAAGTATAGTTAGGGTAACTAAGATTAAGAGTTGATCATTGTAACATATTAAAGATTATAGACTTAATCCTAGTTGAGGAATTACAAAACATGTCAATATTGGAAAATTGGCTACGACAAAAATAACTATTGGTATATTTTTGCGATAATGTGGTGGTACAAATATTTTTATTGAAGGTGAGGAGCGTGCGGGCAGTCGGACTTTGATAATGAAGTTTATTTTAGAAAGAAGAACTGTGACAGTCAGTTTTACTGTTTATCTATTTGAAAAGAAATACTAAATCAGACATATTTCGGCGATTCTCTAGCGATAGCAAATTATAGCTTTTTAGTGAATCCATGTAATCGTCATTTGCGCAGTTTTTACGATAATTATCTTCATGAATTTAAGTTGAAACTTTTCTAGTCGAGTTGTATCTTTTTTATAGACAGGATTCCAAATGAGACTACCAAATTAATAATATAATATCTTTGCCACAGATTCTGTGGTATAAATTATCTTTTAGTGTTATTGTGGTTTTATATAAGAACTATCAACACACCCTCCCTCCCGCCCCCTTGTAAAAGTAAAAATAAGATAGAATAGACCCCGCCCAATCGTCTTACGTAATAAATGGAAGAAGCCTTTTCTCTTTATCATTATCGTTAACTATATATAACGTGAATGGTAAATAACAATCGAGACGGAATTATATAATAAAAAAAAAACCGAGTAGATATTGTAAGATAATTTGGTTCAGCTAGGGTTAATATCTCAAGATTTGTTGTGAGATCTCAAGATTTTTGGATTCTTCTCAGGAACGCGGTCGGCCTATAAAAATCTCGGTAAATCTCAGGATATAAAGAATTTTGAATAAAATATAAAACATTTTAAAGATCTCTTTAATAAAAAGTTATACAAACTAAAAATGAACTTCCTGACTTTGCGAAGACTGCTGAGCAAGCTTCCAGGGTATGGAATCCCTGCTGTTTAATGTTATGGAATTCCAGGGTTTTTTGTTACTGGATATCTGACTTCCTTAGTAATCAGAGTGGTCATCGACGGTTGCATCTCTGATCTGTTGAGTATGCAGATGACTACACGGACATAGAGAGTAATTATTTTTTTTAATTGTTAAGTACGTTCGAGAGAAGAATCTCTAACTGCAACAATATGTCAGGAATTTTCAATGGCAATTAGGGTCTTTCCTCCCGACTTTTGATTATTTTCATCTGGTAACCCTAGATTCAGCCAACAGTCAAAATATATATTTTTTTATTGGCGTGATAATTGTGAGGGTTGACTAAATATAATAATAAATTACGTTTTTATTGCATCTATATATCAAACACAATATATAATTTAATAAAGTAATAAAGTAATAAAGTATGCATCTCCGGATCAATAAAATTTATGGAAATAACCGTTCCAATATCACATACAATAAACTGACATATTGTTTTTCCCGTTTTTTTTTTTTAATAAGTTCAACAACATGTTGTTATGGACGGTACCTATCTTCCATCCATCCGTCTGCAACAGCTAATTTGCTTCGAATGTATTGGTGGGCCGATCGAGTTGCAGACACATTATGTCTGTCGGTTACATAAAGACGAGCTTACAGAGGTTTAAATGTAAATTAGAATAAAGACCTCATCTGAGAAACTATTGAAACTAGAATTTTTAAAGAATACCGAAATAATGTTTGCTGTAGATTACTATAACGCACTAAGAATTGTATAATTTTAATATTAATTACTAAGCAGACGCCCGGATTGCGATAGGTCATGGGTACGAGTCCCATCTCAGATTGCCAGGGATAAAGTGGATTTTTAAGCATTTTTCATTAGAAAATATTTTTAATAAAGCATTTTGAATGCGAAATTGATCAAATATATGGAGACCGTCGTATGTGTCAGATTTTTGTTAATATGTTTTCGTTTACAGTTAGATGTTTGCATAATGGAAAACAATATTTTATGGTAATCATAATAGTGTCCGTGACTAAAGGGATCAATGGTCGCCACGGTCCACGCTCGCGCTGAGCCGTTATGAATCTCAAACGACAAACGGTACTAATTAATTAGTCGCGAGAACTTATTCTGATTAGGACTTTATCTAAGAAACTTCAATTCCAACATGTTTAGTTTGTAAAATTGGCACATATATAGATAGATACTTTCTTCCTTGACAATTTAATTTATTTCTTGACAATTTAACTTTTGTGACATAATTTATAATTTTTTATTCTAAGCATTTGACGTTTATTGTACTTAATTGAAAATTACCTGACAATTAACATTAATTTTATATACCTATTTATGATTATTTTTAAAATGAAAATTAGGGACGAATGTGAATTTAAATGAAATTTTATGAATGTAAGATATTGAGGAAAGTTAAGATATTGAAGATTTTATTTAAAGCATTTACTATTGACAATGGAATTTTAATTTTAATTTGCTACACCCTTACAGGGTGTCACATAAACTGTACCTAATAATAACACCTGTTTTACTATGTGACATGCAATAAATGAATTATTATTATTATTATTATTACACGCCTACTACAAATTAAATAATGAAATACAAAAAAAACTGCATATGTAAATTAACTAAAAAGTAAAAATAACAATTTGTATTTGTATGCACACTACCTATTATGTAACTCAGAGGTTCTCTAACTTTCGATGGAACACTTTTGGAAATCAAACAAGGAGCCACTGCTCATAATTTGAGAAACGGTGATATATCGTAAATTAATTAAATCACTATGCCGGAATCCGTATACAAAGTGAAATTATCATCAAAGAAAACCTTTTACATCTCTTTTGTATACCGAACGAAAATAAATTATTATTATTAAAGTATTTTTTAAATATTGTAAGCATAGATTAATTCAGATGGCATAATTTAGATTTAAACTCGTAATTTCGAATAAACTTCATGATCACCGTGCTTGGCTTCTGCTGAATAATTAGATAAAATGTCAACATCCAGCCAGACGTCAGAGTCAAATGCTGGTAAGAGATTTGAAGTTAGGTACTTAGTTCTTGTAATCTTCTACAAAATAAGAGCGTTCATTATGAAAGGTTTCAACTTCAATAAACATATTTAACATGTTGTTGCCATTATATTGATTAATTTGTTTTGAACAGACAAGGATAAAATTGAATAAATTTCAAGTTAATTCTGAAAAGGCCTACTTAGTTGTATTGGATAAACCCATATACACAAATATTTATGGATACTCATAAATACATTTTAAATTAAAAAAAAATGTAAATAAAATTTTATTTGAATATTATTGAGAAACAAAGATCCGTAGGTTAGCTGATATACAAAATACGAGCTAAAAATGGGAGAAGTTCCCACAAAAACATGATTTTATGTAAAAATGCCACATTGAATAAAATATCGAATAGGACAGAAACGTAAGAAGCTAATTTCATAAATAAAAAGAAATGTATAGTTATTTGCCTGATATTAGCACATCCTTAAAACTGCCCGAGTGAATGCTCTTTATATGGTTCATTCTTGTACGGCGAATGTATGTTTGAAATTCTCCTATTTGATACTTGAGAATGCGAGCTATGGCAGCGCGAACATTAAAAGAGGTTTTTGCGTTGGCAAAATTCTATCTTTGGTATGATTTGTGATTTTTAAGTGTTAATGATGGTTAATGCGTTGTAAATAATTTACAGTGAGCAAATCCAATATGGCAGTTCCTATAAAAGATTTCAATAAGTTGTCCTGACATAGTTAGTTATAATATGGTTACTAATTATAAACCTTCAAATCTTAGGCTCTGAGCAAACGAGGTTAGTGCAATTACGCGTAACTAACAGAATTAAGAGCTTTTTATTGCGAGGTGATGGTTAAGGGGGTTTTCTATTGCTCTACATCCATCAATATTCATGTCCATCATCTCCTTGGAGGATTCACTGAGTAAAAGCAGAACGTAAATTGTTTCGTGCTGTATTCTTGAGAATCGGTAGGAAAACCCCCTTTTTTAACAAAACACTTTATTTTTTAATCTTATATTTGAAGAGTAGTTAAAACTATATTGTATGTGTTTTCGT